CATGCAAAGTGCATAAGAGGGAACCTGGTGACTTATTGTAGTTGGATTTACAGATACATTTGGCAAGGTACATCCTGAAAAGCTATTGTGCAAAGTAGAAGCACAAGGTAAAAACCAAAAGAACTGCGGATGCTGTAAATCAGGAACAAAAACGAAGTTGCTGGAAAAGTTCAGCAGGTCTGGCAGCATCTGTGAAGGAGAAAACAGAGTTAATGTTTCGGGTCCGGTGACCCTTCCTCAGAACAAGGTGTAGAAGCACAAGGTGTAGGGGGCAACATACCGTCATGGGTAGAAAATTGGCTGGAAGAAAAGAGAGTATGCAAATATTGGTCTTCACATTGGCAGGATGTAACAGGTGGGGTCTCGCAGGGGTCTGCTGGGTCCTCAACCTTTTATAATTTATATCAATGGATTAGATGAGGGGCAAGTGAAGGTATGATTGCTCAATTTGCAGATGACGTAAAGGAGGACATAAGAGGGTTACAATCTGATATAAATGGTTTGAGTGAATGGGCAGAAATCTGGCAGATGTGGTATAATGTGGGAGAATGTTCACTTTTGTAGGAAGAATTAAAAAAGCAGAGTATTACCTAAGTGGAGAATGACTGCAGAATTCCAAGGTGCCGAGTGACCTAGATGTCATAATACATGAGTCACAAAAAGTAGTATGCAGACAAAGCAAGTAATTAAGAAGACTCAAAAACAAAAGCAGAAATTGCTGGAAAAACTCAGCAGATATAGCAGCATCTGTGGAGAGAAATCAGAGTTAATGTTACGGGTCCAGTGACCCTTCTTCAAAAATGTTTTTGTTTCTGATTTCTAGCATCCACAGTTCTATTGGTTTTTTAATTAAGACTAATGGAACACCGTGAGATAGCAAGAACTGCAGATGCTGGAGTCAGAGATAACAAAGTGTGGAGCTGAAGGAACACAGCAGGCCAGGCAGCATCAGAGGAGCGGGAAAGTTGACATTTCAGGTTGTGACCCTTCTTCAGAAATGGGGAGGGGGAAGGGAGATCAGAAATAAGTAGAGAGCAGAGGAACACCATCCTTTATTATGAAAGGAATTGAGCATAAAATAGAGATATTATGCCTTAGCACATTGGCAAGATTACATCTTGTATACCGTGTACAGTTTTCATCTCTTTATTTAAGGAAGGATGTAGATGATTTGGGGCAGTTCAGAAGAGGTTTACTACATTGATATCCAGATGAGTACGTTGTCTTCAAAGGAAACATTGGGTACACTAGACTTGTTTTCACATAGAAGAATAAAGGGTAACTTAATTGAAGTATATGAGATCCTGAAAGGTCTTGACAAGATGAATCTGGAAATGATGATTAGTCTTGTGAGTGAGTCCATAACCAGGGAGCACTGTGTTAAAATTAGTTTAGTACAGAGATTAGGAGAATTTTTTTCTCTAAGGATTGTGTGATTTTGGAACTCTTTGCCTCAGAAAGCAGCAGCGGCGAGGTTTTTTTTTAAAAAGGCAGGTGTAGATAGATTTAGTTAGGCAATGAAATCAAAGCTTATCGCAAGTAGATGGGACCACGTTAGTCAAAACAAATCAGTGATAATCTTACTGAATGGTGGAGCAAACTTGCAGGGCTGAATGGCCTGCAATTTTCTTAGTTCATGTGTATGTCCACGATTTCCTGAAACCCCAGACTAATTACATGCACTAAAATTTATTAATAACTGATGTTTTGGGGATTAGATGAAATTGAAGAAAATTACAGTGAATGGTTGGAATTAACTCAATAATAATTGTCGCACATTTTAATGAATAAACACTTTCCAAAAAGCCCTTATGAATGAAATGAAACATAATAAATATACACAAACCACTGCGCAAGGTTTGTGATTACCAGTATTACTACAAAGATGCTAGTTGTTCCCGGTCAGTAGTATAAGGGATCTATTCACTTCTCATCAAGGCAATCCTAACTCTACATTTGCTTATATGAGTAGCCAATTAAATATACAGTGATTAAATGCAATATGTAGCGATGTACTGCCACCTCCAAGGCATTTGCAAATTGATGTTACTGTGTGTTTGGTATTTTATCTACTTCTAGTATTGTACAGAGTGGTAAAACTGGAATGCAAATTATGTCCTGTATGTGGAATATTTTGAAACAAATGGATTTTATTCTGTTCCAATTCATGCGTTAAAGTTCAATGGGGGACAGTATCTATGTGTAAGCCTTGATTTTTTGCGTTCCCAGCAAAGTCCGTGCTGCACATGCCTGATTGCTTCATCAATCTTGTTTGCAGCACACTGAAGTCTTCCCTAATTTTGTAGGATCAGCTCCTTTGAAAAATTGACACGAACTTGCAGCACAGTTTTGGTTTCACACCAGTAGGTTTCTGTAGCTGTATGTAAACTTTGATTAGTTGTTTAAAGGGATATATGCATTTGAAATAAGTTGTTGCTTATTGAGGAATAATGTTATTTCCACCTTCATAAAATTCCAGAATGAAGTGACAGGAATTTTGGAAGAGCAAAATGGATCATGTGCAAAAGTGTTGAAGCAGTGCAGCATTTGTCTTCCTGGTCTAATGCCTGACAGAGTATACCCATTATTTTTGTGTGGTGGTGCAAAGAAGGGTTGTCCTGTTTGTCTCATAAAGGCATCCTCTTCAAAGAACAACAGTATGCTTTGATATTCAAGAAATAGCAGTCAAGCTCAACTGTCCGTCTGATCCATGTATTAAAACTATGATACTATCCAATTGTTAGGAACCGGGTATCTGGAAAACATTATGCACGTTCTTTAGCTGTTGCCTGATTTTCACAGGAGAAGAGACAAATCCACTGTGTACTCAAAACACAACCTATTTAATGCTTCTATGGACAACTGATAGATTGATTTGATTTATAACTATATGGTTGATGGCTTGGAAGGATCCAAATGCTGCAAGTTTCAGATATGTCAATGAGTGTTACAGATAAGTTATTTAAACATTGTCTTCCCAGTAAATGGTTTATCTGTGTGAAGACCTACTTTGTGAAGTAAAGATGCCAAACAGGTCTCTTACTCATTGGAAGATCAAACGATCGTGTGCATGATGCATAAGTTTCTATACATTTGCATTTCTTATGCCTTCAATAAACTGTTTTGCATCCTCCCAAATTTAGGAACATGTTTCAAACTCCCAAAATAATTTCTACCTTGTTCATTTTCAAACAAATTAACAACTGGAAGAACAGTCAAACTGTACAACATCAGAGCCAAACAACAACATTAATACATTAGAGGTAAAGCTTTCTAACCAAAGATTTCATAGGAATATTCCCATTTTATAAGCTTTATCCAAAAGGCTAAATAGTCCAGATACTACAGAGCTAGTTCCAATGGGAAATGTTTTTGCCAGTGGGGAAGTAGATAGAAAATCATACAATAATAAGAGACCTACTTGAATAATTTTAGGAGCCTTAGGAGGTTTATGCTGGCCACCATTGCAGTCTGAAAAATGCTGGCATTTTTCCTGACCGGAAATTTCATCCTGCTGTGAATAAAGCATGTTAGTCTGCATACTCAATATCGCACCTTCTGCTTAACAGCAACAGATCCTTATTAAATCTTCCCTGCAGCATGAAAGTATGATGAAAATGTAAGGGAAAGTGCAACAATGTGGCTTGATACAGATAAACTTGTTTGCAAATATATTCGTAGATCACTGTCTTTTCTTAATATGGTTTCACTTTTTCTGTTCTTTTTGTAATACCTTATCACTATTCAGCTTAAGAATTAGATTTTATATATCCCACCTGCTTTATGGGGAAAATATATAATTTTAAAATATATCCAACTGATTGTAAAGGAGGAATCATGTGAAAATGTTTGAAGATAAGCAGGTAAGAGAAAAATCATTGGAGTTATTTAGTGGAGGTTAAAATTATTGTTTAACAGTGTGAGATTTTATAAAAGGAGAACTAGTAGATGAGGTGTATTTGGAATTTCAGAAAACTTTTGATAAGATCCCATGCAGCTGGTTAGTAAATAAGATTAGAGCTTGTGGTTTTGGAGAAAATAATGTTTTGTATTAAGAATTGGTTAATAGACAGAAAGCAGAAAGTGTGAAGTAACAGATAATTCTCAGAATGGCAAACTGTTACTAAAGGGGTACCACAAGGCTCAGTGTTTGGTCCACAACTGTTTACAATCTAGATAGGTTATTTGGATGTGGGGGCCAATTGTGATATTTCCAAATTTACTGATGATGCCAAACTAGATGAGAACATGAGTTGTGAGGAGGACACAAGGAGACTTCAAGAGGACTTGAACCAGGTTAGTTGAATGGAACTAGAACATGACAGATGAAATATAATGTAAGTGTGTAGTTATTCCCTTTTGGAGAAATAAAACAAAACAACAATATAATATAGTTTCAGAGATAGTAGGAACTGCAGATGCTGGAGAATCTGAGATAACAAGGTGTAGAGATGGATGAACACAGCAGGCCAAGCAGCATCAGAGGAGTAGGAAGGCTGACGTTTATTAGGGAGTGTTAATGCCTAAAGACATCTGGATTTCATTGTTCGTGAGTTACTAAAAGCTAGCACACATGTGCAGCAAGCAATTAGGAAGGCAAACAGCATGTTGGTGTCAATTTCAAAGCAATCTGAGTGTAGAAGTATGATTTCATGCAGCAGTTGTCCTCAGTGAGATCTCACTTCGAGTTTTGTGTAAAGTTTTACTCTGCTTCTGTAAGAAGGGTAAGCTTGCCATTGAGGGACTTCAATGAAGGTTCATCAGATTAATCCCTGTGATGACCAAATTGTTTTATGAGAAGAAATTAAGCCTTTGCATTCTCGAGAATTTCAAATAATTTCATTGAAACTTATAAAACACTCACAAGGTTCAACTGGGTAGATATAGACAGGATGTTTCCATTACTGGTGACTCCACAACCACTATTTAAGACTTGGATGAGGAGGAATATCTTCAGTCAGAAGGTGGGGAATGTTTAGAATTCTCTGCTCTTGAGGGCCATGGAATCTCAATCATTGAGCCGATTCAAGACAGAACTCAATAGATTTCTGGAGATTTACGACATTAGGGATATGGAAGTACAGGAAAGTGTTATTGAGAAAACAATAATCTATAATCTAGAGTTGCAAGGGAGGCTTGATGGGCTGATTATCCTACTCTTGTTCCTAAAAGATGAAAGGTAAAAACACAACATGAAACATGAACAGAATTCAAGGAATATAAATAAATTCTGAGATTTTTTTTGTTTTGAAAATGTATAAAGAAAAGAATAAATCCAGAGTACTACACATTTTTGTTTTGGAATTCTATAATTGTTTACAAATCAATACTATGTATGTTTTACTGTACGTAAAAAAATGAAAAAATTGTAAACTTTTACAGTGTGTGAAGATAGGCCCATGGAAGTTGAAGCAACTTGCAGAAACAGCAATGTGTTATCATTTCCCTGGCCTCTTCATCTAACCCTGAAAAATTCAATTTTTCACGTGTGTGAAAACTGTCATGAATTGTGCCTCTGCCACATTTTCTCATAGAATAACCAGTCGAAACTCTATTGAGTTAATTATTAAAGATTGGACCTGAATCATAATTATGTGAGAAGGATAATTATCTGCTACGCTTATTTGTTGCTTAACCTTTAGGTACTGATTAAAGACAGATTCACTGCATTTGCACCAAAACTCTGTGTGTTCGTCAAACTTTTTTAGTATTCGCTAATTTTATTTTTTTTTATTCAGTGAAATCTTTTCGATTCTGCCTAAGTGTTTACCCTGTCAGACAGTACATCTTGCTTTATTTTATTGTTGCAGGCATCCATCAGTCACAAAAGAGATTTGTGCCTCCTTTAAAGAAGAAAACTGAGGATGAATGTCAATCACAAATGGTTTTTGATTTCCAATATATGTATGCCCCGATCAAACGTAAAACATTTGAAATAGGGTTAAATAACTCTCTAAAAGATCAATCTCAGCTTAGGTTCAGAAGTGACAATTCTGTTCCTTCAACCATGCTGTTAAATGACAACATTAAAGGTCACAGCAGACATCAACATGAAGAGACATTTGATAATTTGAATTGTCTTGGTACTTCATATTATAAAGCTGAAACGAAGGATGAAAGTGCTAGCTCTTTGTTCAGAAAAAGGTAATCTTTTCCATTTTGTATTATGCAGATGTTCCAATGTTTTTCTATATCAAGACTTGACAATATTTGTACATTTCTACAATCAAATTTCCAGATGCAAGAAGTTTTGATCAGAAAGTGTACATCAGCACAGATGCGACTGTTTGTGAGCAAACTTAGTTTAGAGGAAATGTCCAAATAAATATTTCAGTCAGTCACAGTGAGATGATTTAATTCTGACTTAACCCAGCTGTTGAGGTTGAGCAGCTGACCATTTTACATCTCGTCCTATTTTTACTTTCCACTGACTTCAATGGACAATAATAAAGGGGGAATGTGGTGGAGTGCACAGGCGCAGTAGGTGGCAAGCTCAATCCCTTTACAAATGCTCAGTCTACATTTAAAAAGATGCTGCTTCATGAATTTTGGGCCTGGTGGTGTGCTTAAATTTCCCCTCGCACAAGGACAGAATGTATGACTTCAAAATGATGTTTAAATTACATCTTTGTGTCCCGGTCCAGTTATTGACTTTATTTCACTCGTTGTTGCAATAGATGGAACAGGAGTGTTCCTCACATGCTCAAGCTCACCACATTGTGATGAGAGCATTGGGACAGTCTGACCCTCTCTGAATGATGTTCAACTCTTCCCGCACAATGTGCCACCTCCCCCACATTTCCAATCACCCTTGATTAACTGAACACCACACACACATCCCCACTCACCCATCACTCTAATATCAGACATGCTTAACTCCAATCTCTGACCACTTTGCTTCTTGACAGTCACACCGCTCATCAATCTATCAGGTGGGAAAGTGTTGAAAAATGTGGACATATTCTGTAGGATTTAAAGGAAATCTTCATTTCTGGGTTTTGCATCTGTAAGTAACTTCCCTTTCACCCTCCAACTTTCTTCTAAACCCCATTTAATGTCTGATTTTTGTTTAAAGTACTAAGGCAAAACTTTTAACGTGGATATTTTGAACTTAAGCACCTCAAGGCTGCTGAAATGCTTGAAATTGTTTTGTTGGTATTTTAAGTAGTATGATAAATAACTTCATTGTACTTATTGGCTAAAGCAAAATAATGTTTCATAAGATCTGAAATACATGATACTTTTAAAAACATTTTCTCTCTTTCTGTAGATTATTTAAAATGACAATGCCAACCAAAACTCCAAATAAACTAGCAACTTTTAATTGCCTACCTTTTCCTGAGAATTCCCCATCACAAGATGAAAACTGTGATTTTAGAAATGTTGCTGAAAAGCACACTGAGTATGATTTGAAAGACAATACCAAACAGAATGATCAGAATGACACTCGGTCTCTGAAAAAAGCACATGTACTTCCAATGATGTCACAAGCACTTAATGTACAAGGTAAAGGAAATTGTTATAGTCAGCATAATTGGACAAGTATTCCATCCTTTGGAAATTATTATGCAGCATCAACAAAAAAAATTATATAATGTCAGAGAAATGTATGACTGACTTTACATGCTGAGAAGCCTTTCCAGTCCTTCATGGTTTAAACTAGAAATGATGAACTGGATTAATCATTTATATTTAATTTAGTATCTTTAAAATTTCATTGAGTGTGCTTTCTTATTCTTTTCAAGACTATTGAGTCCACCTGATGATGGTGGCAGCAGGATTCTCCCTGCTAGCCTAATCCAATCATGATCCTAGTTTCGCTGGTAGTGACTAGTTCATTATGCTGGTTGGTCTCTAAGTTAGATTATCGGTGCATGTGCCCATACAAATTAAATTTGGTAATGGGATACCCATTGCAGCATTTCATGGAGAATGAGAAACCTTTAAATAGGCAGAGTGCTTCAGAGTTTCTTTGGCATAGCTGGACAAATTGTTTTTGGAATCGTAGAATTGTGCAGCACAGAACAGGTCCTTCAACCCATCGAATCTGTATCTCCAAGTTATGTTAAATCTACACCAGCCCATTTTCCAGCACTAGTCCAATAGCCTTGAATGTTATGACATTTCAAGTGCTCATTCAAGTAATTTTTAAAGTTTGTGTGGTTACCAACCTCAACTACCTGCCCAGACAGAGTATTCCAGACTGCCACCACCCTCCTAATGAAAAAGATTTTCTTCAAATCCCCTGTAAGCGTCCTGCTTTCTACCTTAAAAGTGTGACTCCTTCTTGGTGACCCTTCAACTAAGTGGAACAGCTGCTTTCTATTCATGCTGTCAGTAGCCCTTGTAATTTTATACACCTCTATTAGGTTTCCCCTCAACCTTCTTCAAACAACCGAAGCTTATCCAGCATCTCTTCATAGAGAAAACACTCCTTCCCAGGAAACAAACTGCTGAATCTCCTCTGCACGGCCTCCAGTGCAATCACATCCTTCCTATCGTGTGGTGACCAGAACTGCACACAGTACTTTAGCTGTGGCCTAACTAAGGTTATGTACAACTTCAACATGACTTCCCTGCTCTTATAATCTATGCCTCAATTGATAAAAGCAAGTGTCCAATTTATAAGTTGATAAATAAACCAGAATTGTGGTTCACAAGGTAGAAATTAAATAGGCATGCAATAAAATGGATTATTAGGAATTATGGACCAAAAACCTGGAACTCCCTTTCATGAACACTGTCACCATTCCTACACAAGATTAGACTGGAGCGCTTGATAAAGGCAGCTCACAATCACCTTAATCGAGGACAATTCGAGTTGAAGAAGGAATGCTGGCCTTGCCAGTGATGCAAGCATCACATAAAAGAATAACAAAAGATGGACACTTCTAGTCATTTCAATTAGTGTTCAACTAAGTCACATTAGCCATAAAAAAATTAAATGAAAATAGGAAATGCTGAAAACATTCAACATGTCTGATAGCGTCGGCGCATTGAGGAACAAAGTTTGGCAATACTATTTTTTATTTCAAATTTCCAGCATCCACAGTACTTTTCGTTCTATACAGTTTCATCTTTGGTTTGTATGTTAAACTATTCATGTCCTGGTGGCAGGAGAAAGTAGGAGGTAGGACTCAAAGGAAGGCACCAAAATTGATCTGGGTCATGCTGGGATGAGGAAAAATAGCCAGAGCCAGAAATCATTTTGCAACAGTCCTTGTTAGAAAATAATTCTGTATGGTAATTAGCTTACAATAATATTGAACTTGTAGTGATGCATTCACAGCTGAATAGTACCATCAACACATACTGTAAAGCTCAAACAAAAAATAGTCACTTAGTCATAGTCATGTGCCTGGAAAATGTAGTGGAGGCTGGTTCAGTTGAGCAATTAAGAGTGCATTGTATGGTTATTTGGAGAGTACTGGTGTCCAGGGATATGGGGGAAAAGTCGGAGACTAGCACTAGATAATAGAGCCAGTCCTGTCATAATGGGCCATGGCCGCCTCCTGCACTGTAATAATTCTTTAATTCCAGTAAATTAATTGAGCACATGAAAATACACCAAGAGGAGCCAACCCTCTAAGAAAAATAAAAGAAAGAAGAAATTGGGCAAAGAAATGAATACGTTTGCAAAAAAAAACTTTTTCTTGTTTCTTGGTTGTACTGAAACAGCCCTAAACCAAGATCACAAATGACATCCAAGTTGAATGTGATAATTTACCCTTCCTCGTTCTTCTTGAACTGGCTGTCTCACAGTTGTTGGCACTTTTATCTCAAAGTCAGAAGATTCTTGGTTTAAATCCCACTCCATGACTATAATGCAAAAATCAGGGGTGACATACTATTATAGTACTGAGGAAGTGTTCACTGCTGAAACACTCTCCACCCTCACAGATAGTCATAAAAGATTCTACATCACTATGTTGAGGCAAGTTATCCTCAGTGCTGTGGCTAATATTTATGCTTGAATCATCAGCATAAAAAGATCACACATTATCTAGCCATTATAGGATTGCAAGGGTCAGTTTAGCTCAGTTAGCTAGTTTGCAACGTAGAGTTTTCCTTAATTCATTCATGGATTGAGGGCATTGCCATTATTGCCCATCCCTAATTGCCCAGAGGGCAATTAAGACTCATCCACATTGCTGTGGGTCTGGAATCACATGTAGGCCAGACCAGGTAAGGATGGTAGTTTCCTTTCCTAAACGACATTAGATAGGGTTTTTTCCTGACAATCAACAATGGATTCATGGTCATCATTAGACTTAATTCCAGATTTTTATTGAATTCAAATTCCATCATCTGCCTTGGCAATATTTGAACCTTGGTCTCTGGATTATCGGTCCAGCGATAATATCAGTAGGCCCTATGATGCCAACAGTGTGGATTCAGTTCCCATATTAACTGATATTGCCATGAAGGTCCCTACTTCCTAACTTCTCCCCTTACCTGAGGAGTTGAGATCCTCAGGTTAAACCACTACCAGTCTTTTCTCTAATGAGAGAGCAGACTATTGTCCAGTCAGACTGTGGCAACTTTCCCTATATTACATTGCTGAATGTGGGAGCTACTTATACAAAAATGAGTTGATACATTTTCCTTAATACAATAGGACTACATTTCAGAAGTGCCTCATTGGCTGTAAAATACTTTTGGACATTGTGACAGGTCCTATGCAAATGTAAATCTTTTTCTCTGTCTGATGCTTTTGACATGGTTGACCATAAAAATGTCCAACATAAATTCCCTCATTTCATCCATCTGGTGGCTCTCAAGAATCTGTGCTTGGTGTCCTCCTATTTCTTATTTTCATACTGCTCTACAGGTTCCCCATGTGGGTTGATGACATCTAGCTGCACCTCACCATCACTTCTTTCGATCCTCCACTCTCCCTAAGTTGTCCTAATTATGGTATACTGGTAATGTATTAGTAAAACAGAGGCCCAGATTAAACTCTGGGAGCATAGGCTCAAATCTCATCACAGAGCCTTTGTAATTTCTGATTGTACTTCAGCCTCACACAACCTGGTACTGAAAGGCATAGACAAGTCAGAGAACCACTTTGTGGATCTGTTCCTGGGTCTGACCGGGAGGCCACAAACAGGCCCAGGTAGCAGACTGTGGAGGGATTATAATACCTCACTGCCTGCCTCTTTTCTATGCCTATGTTCATACTTGGATGTCCCTGAAGCAGCAGTGTCCACTGGCATGCTTCAAGCCTTCTGCAACTGGTGGATACCACAGTGGCTGAGGGTAAATCAACATCTCCAAAAAATGAAATTTTGGTATAAATTTTCATGCAATTACCTTTGTCACTTCAACTTAACTTACAGTGCTCCTTCAAGGAACTGGTACCTGTGTCAGTTTGGCTTAATTAATTTATTTAAAATAGTATTTAAAAAAATGCTCCTGCACCATAGTGGTAGTGTCCCTAACTGTGAGCCTTTATGCCCCACAGGTGTGTCATGAGATGTCTGAAAAGGTTGATTAAGAACATATAAAGAGAAAATGAGCTGTAGTTCAATTGGTAGCACAGTTACTTCTGGTTCACATGGTTCTGGATTTAATTCCAACTCCAGTTATTGAATATAAAACTTAAGTCTGAATTTCCAGTGCATTATTTGAGAGAGTACTGCATATTACAAGTGCCATTTCTTGGAAAAGACATTAAATTCCATCGTCTGAGGGGCTGCCACCTGTTAAATTGATTCAATCTGGTTTGAATTGGTATCATTATTTATTTAAAAATAGTACAAAGAGAGACTGAGAGGCCTTGTAGTGCAGTACTAGTGTCTCTGCCTCTGAGCCAGGAAGGCTGGGTTTAACTCCCACCTAGTCCAGAGGTTGTAATTGCATTTCTAAGCAGATTTGTTAGAAAATATCTATAAGGAGAGACTGCTGGGACTCTGGATTGGTAGGCAGGAAGCAGTATGTGTCATTTGCATTGAGTGAATAAACTCATCACTAAGTATTCGCGCCTAGTTTCATATTTCACCAACTGACTTGGGATCGAAATAACAATAATGCTTGTGCATTAGCATGTGCTGGATGAATAGAGATTTCCTTCAAACAAACAATGGAAAGACAGAAACTATTGGCTTTGGTCCCTATTGTAAACTTCATTTCCTTGCCACTGATCATCCTGCTCACAGGCAACTAACTGCCTGTGGATGAACCAGCCAGTTCACAATGTTGGTGTTATGTTTGATTCTGAAATGATTCTGAAAACCAGATCATCTTTAAGATCATCCATTTCCACCGCCGTATCATTGTCTGACTTTACCTGTGACTCAGTTTATTTATTGCTGAAATCTTTCACTCTGCCTGTTCTCCCTAGCTCCACCCTCCACAGGCTTAAGTTATTTTAAACTCTGTTGACTATATTCAAAATTGCACTGAGTCCTGCTCACTCATTTCTGCTGTGCTCACTGAACTGCTTTGGCTTCTACTTAAGAAAGATTTAAAATTTTAACATTCTCATCCTTGTTTTCAAGTCCCTTCATGGCTTTGCTTCTCCCTATTTTTTGGACTATTTCAATAATATAGCCCCAAAGTCTCTGTGCTCCTGTAAATTAGCTCCTTGAACATATCCAATTTTAACTACATCAGTATTGGTAGCTGTGCCTTCAACTTGACCCTGAAGTTCTGGGATTCCCTTTAAAATGTAATTGTGTCTTTATCTTTCTTTGTTCCTTTTAATGTATTGCTAAAACCCACTTCCTTGATCAAGGTTTTGTCATTTGCCCTAATCTCTCCTTTAGTGGCTCAGTGTCAAATGTTTTATCGATCATGATTGTACATTGCCCTGGGATGCTTGCCAATGAAATGCGATGTAAATGTAAGTTGTTACATTATATGTTTTTATCTTTGTTATTCTTTTAGATGCAACTGGCAGGAGTTCAGGAACATTGAGGGCAGTTACTGAAATTCGTATCCTTTCAGTTATGGTGGACTGTATTTCTACTGTTAATAAATGGAAAGTGATTCGTTTGTTGAATTAGTTATTTGAGTAACTCTGCCTCTGAGTAGAAATAAATGTAGGCTTAGCACATTGTTCCAAGTTCTATAATTTTTTTGAAGTAAAACATGTTTAACCACTGTAAGAAGACTGAATTATGTAATTTTGAAATTGTGATATGCTAATAAGATGAAAGGATTCATGTTGACCCAATCCAAAAATTACATTAAAAGATTACATGTAGATTATTCTATAGCAATCTTGACCACTCAAGCTAAGAGGAGAGCTAGTAGGAACTGCAGATGCTGGAGAATCCGAGACAACAAGGTGCAGG